GTTTGGCCTAGAGGGCTCAGTAGAGGAGGAAGTTACTGGCAGAGGTGGCCAAGCAGAGGATTTTGAGGCCAGGGAGGGCGAGCTGTGGGGAGAGTGGGCAGAGGTCAGGGAATCTGTGGTGACACAGGGAAGCTGTGGGATTGATGGCTTTACCTCAGGCTCCCAGGTGACGAGAGCAGAGGGGCCCATGGCCATAGTAGAGGCTGAGGGGCTCCTAGAAGGGCAGATACTGTTGGAAAAAGAGCCTGGGGTATGGCCAACAAGGGAGCAGGAGCAAGACAGTGAGGGGCAGCGTGGGGACCATGACCCTGAGGGAGAAGCACAAATGCCCCGTGATGTGGAGGATGTTGAGGTTACTGGACACAAGAGGGCAGAGGCCAAGGAGATTGATCCGGAAGGCCTAGAAGACATCCAGGGCCAGGAGAACCAGTCGACAAACCAGGACCCTACAGAGGCTGAGCCTGGGCCACATGAAGAGGCTGCAGAAAGTGCCGGAGGAGATGTTCTTGGCAGCTGGAGTGAGGTGAGGGCTCCAGGTAGGGTCCAGGGCTGAATAGAGCATAATCTCAACGTCAGTCCCATAACACTTTGTGCCCCCCTTCCCTGCAGGCCCTGCTCCCTGGGTCTCGCCTGGATGTCTCTGTCCCTCGGAGTCGTATACTCCTCTCCCGCAGCTCCTCACAGCGTCGCTCTCGGCCCTCTTTCCGACGGACCCCCACCTCTGAGCAGCAGGAAGAGCCTCCCAGCCCCCCACCAGAGGAAGTGCTGTCAGCCCCTGAGCAAAGACTGTCCCAGCCAGAGGAACCCCCAGAGCCAAGCCCCCCAAGGCCTGAAGGGACTCCAGTGCCAGCCAGGAGAAGACCCTTGGGACACGGGTAAGCACAGGGTAAAGTGGCTGGGCTGGGATGAGCAGAAGGCTGAACACCTGGAGACCAGCTCCCATGGCTTGTCTTCCACCTCCAGGTTTGGCCTTGCACACCATGGCATGATGCAGGAACTGCAAGCCAGACTGGGCCGGCCAAAGCCCCAGTGACTGGGTGCCGAGACCCAGAAGCCAGGCTCTGAGTGAGGGTC